CAGAGCTGCTTTTCTGCTTGTGACAGTTAATTCTATGTCAAAATTGTGAGTAAAGATATGACTCAGTTTTCTTTGCATGATTTTTAAAGCTTTTGTCTGTTCCAGTCATCTACTCTAAGGAAATATGGAAATCCTGTTGCCTTTTATGTATGTAGTATGTTGAGTTCCTATTTTTTGGGCATGGGAAAAGAAAAATATTAAAATACGTTGACTAAAACACCAACAGAAAGTAGGATCAATCAATCATTTACCATTTGCTTTAATGAAATGACATCAGCTGAACTATGAAGATATGGTATGTGATAACAGCTGAAAGAAAGGTGTTGATAAGGGCTTGGCAAGCCTTATTCTAAAGCTGATAAAGAGCTGATTGTTCAAAAGATAAAGCAGTGTTGGTAAAAAGCCCTTCCATATAATGGAAAAAAAGCAACAGGAAAAACGGAGAGAGATGAGTAGGAAGGAACAGAAAGTTTCCTTCTTCCTTTTCACTGGAATGCACTGTCATCATTTATCTTTTCCGTAGTGCATCCATATGAACTAAACTTCCATCACGTTTATGGGGACAGGGCAGGTTTCTTTATATCCTGACATTTCGATTTTCTCCACCCCCATTGGCTCCATCCCTAAGAAGCAAGATTTTAATGTTTCAGAGCTTCTAAAAACTGTTCTGCATTAGCTTTTATTTTTCTTTTATGAGTCCAGTAGCCTACTGTGCCATCAGCTGACTTCCACTTTACCAGCAGGCAATCTCATTTCCACTCTGTCCTATGCATTTTACAGGGCGTCAGTAAACTTAAAGTAAGATGAATATTGTGGGAAATGAATTTACAAGTACTGAAAATGAGAAACACAGAAGATCACAAAGACCGCACCATCTGTGCTACTTTGTTGTACTGCACAGAGGGACAACTGCAAATGAAATTCGGTGTAGAATGAAAGCTTGCTAATCCCAAATTGATAGTTTGTTCTTGGCACAACCTTGTTTTCAAAAGAGGCCAGTTTGATCTCTGACTGACCTCATTTTCTTGATCTGGCCTTGGAACGGAGCTTTGACTTTTTAATGATGTGCCAAAATACAGAATTCTGTGTTGCTGTGACTGAACTGGGAATGGGCTAAAGGTTTAACGTACATAGCTTTATTTTGATCTGAAGCATGACATTCCGGGATGACCTTTAATAACACTTCTGCCAAGAAGCTCCACGAGGGAACTGAATTACCTAAAAAACACCTTAGCAAACTGTGACAAACTAAACATAACTAGAAAATAACTGTCAGCTGCAACTAGGAAACTATCAGCCAAATTCAGCCCAGTATTATTTACTTCTGCATTACTCCATTTTATACCTGGGACAGGAATCTTAGCAGAAATCCCAAGGTTTTGCTGCTAGAAGAACTTCTGCTGCCCTGTAGCAACCAAAGCAATAAATCTTTAACTGCTCCTTTTGAGCTGTTTGCACCTTTGCAATTCCTGTTATTCTACCTGAACTGCATTGCAACATGTGCCCGCGGCTGGAACACGTGTACTGCCGGCCATAACCCTGCTGGCTTTTTATGTCTGCATTGTTCCATGTGGAGTCTAAATCATGATTTCTATGTGTGTCAGTCTATGATATTGTACAGTATTTTCCTTGAGAGTTTAATACTGAAAGTGGAAGTAGTTTTCTCTATGTCACTGATGCAGTAATTAATCTCATCTTAACTATTATTCATACTATTTTTTTTTCAAAAGATCCCTGTCATATCGCTGCCTTATTCAGTCTGTGTAAGGATACTAAGAATATAACTTGTTCACTCCACTTTGTACAAAAGGCTGGTGCTCTCTGCTGCTTTTGCTTTAGTGTAACCTTTCCACTACATATTTGGAATTACTGATAAGACTGTGCTTTCAGGGGAATGTTTATCCATATTGTCAAAGATCTACCAACTACTTAGGAGGTGGTCCTGCATTTAGGGAGGGAAAAATACCTCAGGGACTGGAATTTTATGGAAACCTTTTTTGTGAGAGAACTTCTGTTTTTTACATTTGGAAAAGTAGTTTTCTGATCATGGCTTATTTATTGTCTTTATTTGTAGTGTTTCAGTCAAAATAATTTCCACGTTTTCCTGCAGCTTTTTTGCACAGGATGTTTACGAGGAGATTAGGCAACAGTGAAGCAAAAGGCATAATACAATGCTTTGAAACAAAACACCCCCATAAACTATGTTTACTCTAATATCCACACCAACAGAACAAGTTGTGCTCGTTCTCCACCAAATTTATCAGACCATCTGCCAGTGATACGACCAGAATGTAAAGGTCCACTGGAACATTCATCTGCACAGAAGGTTCATTCCCCTAAATTTAATTCAGCAGTAGTCAAATAGTTAAGGCTTCATTTTTAACAGTGCTTTTTAAAGTCTACTTTTGGAGATACAATATTAAACCAATTTTTTTTGACTTATGCATTGAGATTCTTAATACCATTTGGGAGTGAATCTCTTGTTTTCTACAAAGAAAATAGTAACTAAAAAAAATCCCATTATCACATTTTTTTCTCAAATCTAATATTAAAATCATAGCACTTAAGAAACGTCTGAATTGTTAGCCAGTGTTGCTTGGGTATTCTACAAAACTCCAAAGAGCTAAATAAATTTACACTGTCTGAAGATGTGGCTCTGTATACAGAGTGTATTTCTAAGACTTGATCAAAAATAACAAGAAGACTATATTTTAGATTCACTAGGCACACTGGTAATTTTAATCTCACAATTTTTGCCATCCTGTTTTGGTGACTAGGGATTTAAAGTGGCAGGAATACATAGCTTATTTGTTGGAGGTAGATGATTATGTAATTTGGCTCACACAAAAAATACCCATGATAGTAGAACTGGTATATTTGTTAACGCTTAATTCCCCAAATCTCTGCGTAATGTAATAGCAATCTGTTGTTATGAGATTTTGTAGAAATCTGATCCTGGACTGGTGACTTATAAGTCAAAGATCAGCTTGGGGCAAATGTTAAGACAAAGTTGAAATTTACTGTAACTGATTATAGGGGAAAAAAGTCCAGTAACCACAGATTAAAGAATGCTATATAATTCAATATATTAACATAGGGTATGTAGTAATAAAAATATGCACCGAATAAACACTCAGCTGAAGAGAACCCAGCTTAGCTGAACATATAATAGGTACATGAAAGAGAAAATGGAAAGATAGCAGTAGTCCCATATGCTGGTCCTGCTTGGCTTATAAAGAAATCAGAGAACATGTGTAGTGAGAGCATCTTCCTGTATCACTTTAAGTGCTAGGGAGGGTATTTTCAAGAGGAACTTTTCCTGTCATCGTAACAGCACAACAGCTCATGGTGGCCTCCATCTCTGGGGTATTTTGTGGATACTTCACTAGCTCTCCAGACCATCACACCTATTACATTCCAATAAATTTAGTTATTCTGCAAGCTATTTTTAAGACAACACCTGGATTTAGAGAAAAAAAAAAGCCACATATTTGTCCATGCTACGTTGCTGTTCCTTCTTCTCACTGGCTTTCTACAAGAGAAATGTATTTAGAAAGACAGTAGATAAGAAAACAACTGCATAGGTCTTGCCTGTCAGGAAATACTCTAAGGGCACATCCAGTCATGCAAAGAGGAATCACATTAGTGAGAACCCAAACATGCCCATATAGAAAAATACCACTTAGGGTCCTAGAAGCAATACTTCTTGCACCATTGTACTAAAACAAAACAAAACCAAACCCCAAAGTGGGTAATACCAGACAATTCTCCAACCAGAGTAGATTGCCAGATATATTCCTGCTCTGTTTCTCAGCTGGTTTGTACCACTGGATGCCCATATTTCATTTCACATCTTTTCAAAAAGAGGTCCTTGATAACTAAAGAAATATAAATGGTTATACCCACAAATCTGCCTTAAAAAGATGCCTTTTCAAGTTTCAGAAAGGCATATCAGTTGCAACAATCTTACCTTTTATTTTTTTACATCTTTCTTGCAAACAATCATGCAGGAGTGGTTAACAACATTTTGTTCCTGTAAAGCACCACCCTTCTGAGAATGTCAACGTGCTCTATTAGGAATAATTGATTAGGCCTCACACTCGTGGGTTGGGTAATAAATGTTTTATCTCAGTTTCAACAAGGAGGAGTCAGAAGTTCAGTCATTTGCTCAAGGTCACACAGGAAGCCTGACAGAGCTGAGTCTCAGCTGTCCTCACTATCATCCTACCAGATAAACACTGAGAACTTCAGAGATACAGTGCTCAGAAAGAATTACCTATAGAAAAGTCCATAAAGTAACAACATCTAGTGAGATAGCTGCCAACTATTCATTAATGTATAGCAGTAAATCTAGAACATCTTATTTCTTTTATGTGTTACCTGAAGAATAAACTAGGCACAAATCAGTTGTTTAGTAAAAGGCCACAAAATCAATACTGACAAGTTCTGCTTTTTTTTAGTATAGCTTATAAGGCAACACTGATGGTTAGACAGAGCTTTTGAAAGGCTGGTAATGAACACTGCTGAAAATATGAGACCTTGGATGGGAACATAAAGGTATATAAAGCCTAGAATTTAAGATTACACAGCTCAGAAAATGGAAATCTTTGAAATCTTTCCTAATTAAGAGTGATTGTTTAGTATCCTCTGCATGTAGATGAACCAAAGGATTTTGTTATTCTAAGTTTCCAAAAAAACTGCCGACAAATGTTAAAATAATACAGCTTTTTCTTCAGAATTTCATTCAACAATGACCATGGTAAAGACCGAGTTGTGTTGATTTTGTTTTAATGATTTTGGAGTAACCATAAAATTAGATGAAACTTAAACAGCAGATACAAATGCCACACACGGTTCTTGATAGAAGGAAGAGCCTGTATCTTGGGAATCTTACTTTTCACACTGTGCTGCCTGTTTGTAGGACCTGTTACTACTGAGTGTATTGCACATTATGGTTATTGTTGTTAAGTTTTGTCACTGATGTCTAAGGTTACCATTTTTCAAGCCCCTCTTACCTTGACTGCATAATTGTTGAGAGGATCTTTTGCATAAGAAGCTGGGTAGTACACGGCATCGCCTGCCTCACAGCACGGCTTGTCACTGGTTAGCCTGAAATCCGACCAGCTGTCCACCCCGAATCGCAGCTGGTCTTTTTGTCCGGCCATGAACAAGTCTTCACATTTGAGTGCCAGCTTCTTCAGTGAATCGGCATGAAGGCTTCGGATTTTACCTACCACCTCTTCTCGGTTTTCAATTCCTCGATAAAGTGCTTGCCTTTGTGGCTTCTGGACACCTTTGCCCTGCTTAGTCTGTGAGATGCGTCTCCCTGTCAGAGACTCCATGCTATTAGAACACCGGTCCTTAATACTGATAGTGGTTAGGCTGGAAACACTGTTAGTTGCCGAGGTGGTTGCCCTTAGTTTTTCTGTAGGCCTGTCCAAGGAATCCCCCGACTCGTTGTCCAGCACCTTGAGCTCCAGGCTGACCGAGGAGCAGGCACTGCTTGCTTCCCAGTTGGTGTCAATGTCATAGGTGGGATTGGCCATAATGCACAGGTTGTTCTCCAGAGCCTGCTTCTGGAGATCTCTGGGAGTCGGCTCTGTGTTAGCTCTCAAAATTGTTTTCTTTGGCAGTGGAGGCGGTGTTGGCTGTAAGTTAATTGTTTCCTGGTCTACTAGTCCTCCAAAGGCAATGGCATCATCCAAAGCTCCCTTTGGCTGCCTTGGCTGTTTCGGAGGTATCATGGCCGCTCTAGACTGTCCTGTGTAATAAGAATAGTAATAGGAGATTAAAGTACTTTGCATCTGCTGCTCATATTTGCACTCTGCAAATAAGTTTAAGGAAGAAAAAAAAAGATGACTAGGACCCCACCAATACTGGAAGAAAACCTAAATACATATCTGAAAAGATTAACTAATTAGAAAGCAAACTGACCAAATCAGCATCGTGTGTCAGCGCTAGCATTACTGGCATTTTACGTCATGTGGGATTAATGACAAAAAGTGCAAGCAAAAACCAAAAGTCAATTTCAGTAATTATATGCAGCCTCCTGTAATTCCTTCTGCAGTCAATTGTCTAGAATAGTATTCCTTACTTCCTATGCAAACGTGCTAAAAGTAGGGGCGGATGCTGCTAAGTGGTGCCATGTACTGTTGCTTTGAGAGGTGCATTTCTCTGGCAGGTGAGGTGATCTTTTCTAATATATCCTCATAATAGTCTGCAAAGCACTTGGGATCACTTGGATTTGAAATGTGCAAAAGAGGCTGAAAGCAGTCTTTCAGAATGTAAACTAGAAAACTTCAGACACAAATTGTAATTGAGATACTGGTCACAGTTGGAAAGTCAGGATTGCCCTAGCAGATCCATGAGGTGAAAACAAGGAAGTTAAGCCAACTTTCACTCAAGATGACAAGTGTGTTGCCACTGCTTTCAATGAGAGTAGGATCATATTTTGAGAATACAAAAACATCTGTTTTGCCCTACAATTTAAAATTCGCAATCCCTCCCCTCAACCATACCTTCTCCTACCCATTTCCCTTAACTCACTTGCCATGAGTACCTTTGTTGGCAATATTATGTTCATAGATAACCTGGCCCAGATTCAGTCAAGAGATTCCAAACAGCAGGTTACATACATGAAAGTGTGGGATTTCCACTGACAGACTGGTTTCAAATATCTGTGTGTTTCTAGGGAAGACAAACTTCCTGTCATGTGTTTTGGATGGCTATTACAGAGAACAATTACATTTTATAACTGCTGGAATCCTTGGAAATGAAGAATAAATACATTACAATAATATGACAGAATAAAAAACCAATAAACAGACAATACAAATGACCAACTCGCTGCTCTGGGACAATTAAACAGTTGTTACTCATCAAAATGAGATTTTTCCAGTCTTAATAATCAACAGCTATTTTCAGAAAAATTATTTTATAATTTTTCTACTACTCCTGTGAGGTTCATTGACTATCATGGTAAGGTAGGAAGCCAATTTTTACAGTTGCAACACAGCGAACATGAAAGGGATGCTCTATATAATTGCAGCTGAGCATCTTTTCTAATAAGGGAACAGCACGTAGAAAGACACTACGACTATTTATAATATGTGCTGAATCCTTGTGAAGAGCAGACTGAACTGGAGCACTGAACCAAACTGGGGGGATGTCAGATTCAGAGTTGAATTACATCACTTTGGTCCATAATTAATAATAAATGATTTTGCAGTCTATGAAAGGGGAAAAAAGATAGCTTCCTTTACACTTTAAGATAAGTTGGTACAGTTTTTATGAATACTACAGAACCTAGTTTCTAGGCCAGGATGCATAAAAACCTGGAACGCTGGGTTTGAATGATGAAAAGGACTTCCTAATTTCAGAAGATCAGAGAGGACTGTATTTTTAAATGTATCCACAAATGGAATAGCATTGCCTCGCCTCTTGAATTCTTAACAGTCATTATCTTTTCAGTCATTCCCAGGAGACGACCTCACAAATGGAAATTGTATCTCTATCTTTTGTTTAAACTCAAGAAACCCTCAGAAGACCTTGTAGATTTAGTGATAAGCTTGGATATTCCAATGTTTAAAAACCTGAATTTTGAGCAGGAAATTCTATTAGCTTTGTACATGACTGATCATCAGGGAAGATTGCGTAGGACTACTCCCCTGGGTCATCACTTTTTAGCTACCACAAAGCAAAGATGTTCAAAGGCTAGAAATATTGGAGAATCCCTGCATACTTCTCTCAAATAATTGTCAAAGTTGCTTAGAAAAACATAACTCAGGGAACCCTCTACTGCTCCTTTCCAATCTTGGTGTTGCAGGGAGCATGCTCTACACTAGCAGCTCTTCCTCCCACCATGTGGTATGCTGCAGCACGTAACACTGGTGCCAGCTGAGCAGTACAGGAACTCTATCAGGTACCTGTGCGGAGACGAAGAGTGACATGATTTAGAGTCAAAAGCAGAATTGGTATCTGCATGCCAGACACACATCCAGATGCCACAGTCTTTTGCATAATCCTGACACAAGTTCATTTCTACTCTGTATCCAGTTTTCTTACTCATCCAAACACGTCTTCCATGATTGCTTACTCTTACAAAATCAATGACCAATGTACCTCTCCCCCCGGCAACATTCTGTGTTAAAGATCACTTGTCTGTTTTCTCATTCTTACCCTCTTCCCCACTATGCTAAAACAGCCTAACATTTTGAGAAAGGCTGTTCTTCCAGAAGGCAGTTTCTACATACGTGTTCTTGTGTGACTTGCTAATCCAAGGACTGCACAGATGCTAGAGGGAAACAGCAAAAAAACTAATTAGAGCAAGATGCACATCTCAGGCAGTAGCAGCAGAAGCCTTCTCCAAGGAAGGTAAGATTTATAACAGCATTTCTTTTTGATTCTCTTATTTTCTGTCTGCCTTAATGGCTCTGTCCTCCAAAAGCCATTCATACAGAAAAGTGGTGCCATTGCTTTTGCTAGGCGTTGCTTTTGCATAGCTATTGGAACTGCAACATCAAAACAGAATTGAAAAAGGTTTTCACAATCTGAAGTTGTCTTTGCAGATGTCTGGTGGGGGTGGCAGGATCCAGAGAACTGCATGTACAAGTCATTATGAAGTTACTTTTTCAAGTATTCTCAGCTGAGAAAAATGAGGCTGTAAAACATGTCATGTTACAGTATAGTTTCTCCCCACAAGAACAAATTTTCCATTTTGAAATCTATCCATCTGTATTACGTGTCTGAAAAGCTGCATATCTGGACTGTTTTTATGCTGAGTTCTTAATGCTGTGTATTTCTTTCATGCCCATTAGGCTAGTCTCTCCAGCTTTACCCCAAGCATGGCATAGTTCTGCATGTCCCATATTTTTATAAATGCATTGTCTAGCAAGGAAAAGGTTGTCTTAAATGTTATCCCTGTCAAAAGCAGAATAATGTTCTTTTGCATACAAGTATTGGCAGCAGATTTGCTTCTTTTTCCTGCCTGTCATTTCCTTCTTCCCTTGCATGCTTAAAACCCATAATTTCCTTACCCACTGCACATAGCCATTTCATGTTACAAAGTCCTGTTATAAAGGCTGATTAAAGTATTCACCAAGTAAAATCCACAGGTTGGCCACCTCCACTGTACAAATTCCCCCCCTCTACTCTTGTCCTAGTACTTTTTCCCCCGCCTTGTAGTTGGCTATGAATGATCCTTTGCAATCTGCATTTTTATTATAATCCAGAACCTGGAAAAGATTTCTCTGTATAAGTAGCAGACCAATGACACTGATCTTTAGTACCAGTACAAAATGCATAACTCCTTAATAACTCTTATCCTGACTGATATAAACAACCAAACCATAAGAACCCACAAATGTGTAAAAGTATCTTCCAACCACTGCAAAGCAACCAGCATGCTCCACAGCCCCAATGTCAACAAATGCAGTACATGTACAATACTATTGTATACAATTAGTCAGTACACAGATTTACACAAATGTGATTGTTAATCCTGTATTATACCCAGTTGTTTACACATTTAGCATTAATTTAATAGATAAAAATCTTACCAGAATGATAATATAACAGAAAGGAAAACTAACACTTGTTAACTAACGTTCATGATGCACCTCCAGTTTCTCACCCATAGTTTGAGACTGTGCACAGAACTACAGTAAGATGGGCTGCAGGTACAAGGGAAATAAAAACCTCAGCTGCAACAGCTTGTCTGCCTTGGTGACTTGTCAGGTCTTGCTGCCAGCCCTCCATCACACCATGTTAAAGATATTATCTGTACTAATTACATATGATACAAGATGCATCAGCCTGATACTGTAATCACTGTCTGTCACTGAACTGTCACCTTTAGTCAGCAATGATTTTGTTACCTTACTTGGAGCCGGGCTAAAGCACACTGCCCTGGTCTAATTACTGACTGAGGCAATGCTCCATGGCAGGTGCTGGGATTTGGGATTTTTTCCAGTATCAGCAATCACAAAACCTAGAAACTTAGTCTCCTTTTTTCACCTTTTCTGTAACTGTAAGGGGAAAAATAGCTGATAATAAAGTAACCTATTCTTTTTTAAATGATAGAAATACTATCCTGAGTCTATTGAGAATATCTCAGTCTACTTACAGTGATGCAAATTCAATCAAGTCAATTTACCCCAAAATTCAAAGATAGAAAAATGTAAAGATTTGTAAAGGAAAGGAAAGGATTTTAATAATCTAGTCTATTGTCTTCCTTATCATAAGCTACAGGGTTTACCTGAATGAACTTCTGCTAGAATAAGGGCACACCTCAAAAAAGAAACATCCAGGCCCTGCCTTACACATTTGAACATTTGTTTCTGCATCTAGATTCAAGTGGCAGCCACTGGATTTTGTTAAAACTGTTGACTGCTGATACCCAAGGTATTCCTCATCACAGTTCTGCTCACCACATGAGCATCCACGCCATGACCAAGTCAGACTCTGTTTCTTTGATAATCTGAAGAGATTCAGCTTCTTGACTTAGTCACTATAAAGTGCCTGTCACAATACTAAGCATTGTCAAAGCTTTTCTTTAGAGCCTGTACAATTTCTTTTTTAAACATTCTTCCTAAACCGTGGTTACCAGGGCTTGACTACGGCCATGGCATTTGCAGGGTAAAAATGAGATACACATAACTACTCTGCTCCTATTGAAGTTTCCTCCAGTTTATACACACATCCCGGGCTTTTTAATTCTATCATCATGGTGGGAGCTCAGGTTTCCTAAAAGCCCCAAGCCTTTTATGTTGTATCTGATTCCCAGAGGAGAATCCTCTATCTTGTAAGGCTTGCCTGTATTTTTTAATTTCTAGATGTAAGATTTTACATGTTAGATGAAATAACAAATACAGCCTATATTCTAGGGCTAGGGTGTATTTGTTATTTCATCTAACATGTAAAATTGAGCTATTATAAAATTTTGCATCTGCAATTTGGTTCCTGACAAATAATTGCAGGCACCCTTACAGTTCTTGCGGTCAGGACATAAACTGATGATAGGACAACTCCTGGGAGAACAGGGAAGGCCAAACCCAAATATATTTGGGGGGGGACCTGATATAAGCTGCTACCTGACTGCAGATGAAAATTGACTACAGCTTGCCATTATTTCTGATCATAAAATTTCACAAGGACATAGTATTATCTGCTTCTCAACTGTAGTGTGTAGCTATGAAAAGGTAACTGGAGATGCAATTGTAGTTGAAGCAGGAGTCAAATGTAACTTATTTACATTCCATATTCCCGTATTATCCTTTCAGTTACACACACCAATATTTGTTAATTCTACAAAATCTATTATTTTGTTGCTCAGGTGATGTAAGATGTGAAAGCAAGTAGGGATTATTCTATATTCCTAGTAATCTCTTGATAGCTATCTGAATTAGAAAGTGAGGTTGCTCAAGTAAACCAGAAAAAAGTTTGAACGGCAGCCAGAGAGCTCAGTGCCATTTAGGGCTGCATTGCTCTTAACAATAAGCAGTAAGCTTGCCAAGACAGACCAAGTCAAGCCTAAAAGTTAATTTAACTCCTTCATACCTAAAATTTACTTTGGTAAAAGCAAATCTGAAAGTGACCCACGGATGAGGAGAAGATTTTACATAAAATGCTAAGGGTTCAGTTTTATAGGGTTTTACAAAAGAGCATTCACACACAGGAACAATGCTGACAAAAACAAGGACTGATGGAAGTGATCACAGAATCACAGAAGCGTTTAGGTTGGAAGAGACCTGTTGAGGTGGTCAAGTCCAACCTTCCCTGCTTGGGCAGGGTCAGCTGGAGCAAGCTGTCCAGGACTATGTCCAGTTGGGTTTTGTGTATCTCCACAGACGGAGATTCCACGACTCTTCTCTGCAACCTGTTCCAGTGTTTAATGGTATTTTATTACATTTCCCATGAGTCTACTACTTCCAGTTTGTGAATTGCTGCAGGAATTAGAGAGGTCTACGGACAGAACATCTACCTCTGTACGATGAAGCAGTTGCCATCAAGTTGCCATCTTGCATAAGAAAACTGAGCTAAATTGAGCAAAGATTTAAACAGACTATTCACAATATCATTACTTTGGCTATGAAATGCAAGTAATCCCTTGACTGTATGAGCACTCTGGCTAAAACACAGCATTCTCACCATGAGGAATAAGTGATATTTCATACATTAAATGATGCTTTAGCTTAATCCTTTTATATGTCAGTCTGGTTAGGAACATGGGCTAACCATGCCATAAATAGTTTTAATGTATCTAAATCTACTGCCTGGATTCTATCTGTAATATAGCTATGTTCTAAATATAGAAAATATATAGATACTGATATATCTGTATGTCTCAATGAATTGAAAATAATTAATTACATCTTTGAATAATTCCACTATAAAAATAGAAATTTTAGTTTTCCTCCTTGAAGTTACAATTTTTTGGTAGGGGTTAGTATCATGCATGGGCAGGATATTTTCCCTTTATGCTTTATAAACAATACCTAAATAATGTTTCATTAGCAGGACACACTAATGTTCGCCACTAATTCACATTTAAGCAAAAAATTGCAACATTATCGCTAAATGTCTAAGGAATGTCTAAGGCACCTATGGGTTTAAAATTTAGTCCTTGATCCCTCAAACCTATGTGGACATGCCAAACCCCCGTACTTGTGAGCTATCTCAGTGCAGTTGGTTTACTCCTGTCCAAATCCTTAATAAGTTGGTATGCTTACAGGATTGGAGCCTTACTGAAAAACATGTAGTCAGATATTCTTGAATGTAAACAAATGAGAGATTTTTCTTCTTCTAAAAAATCTGGCTACAGGTATTCCTAAATTCACAGAACTTCAAATCAAAATGTTTTAGAGAATGAGGCTGGTAAGATTGATACTATATATCGGGAGATGCTTATTTGTCTTGCTTATCTTCCAGAGAAAATATGAGTCAGGAGTTCACTGACAGCTGAGTAGGCTGTGCAGTACCTTCAGGAAATTCACATCTTAAACTTCTCTGAAGGAGCAGAAGTAAACTCTCAGAGCAGGATAAAAAAGGTTTTAGTCAACCAAAGATTAACTACAAATATTTTGGCAGTTATTGATGCTCTAAAATAAGAAGTCCTATTGTTTGCTGAAGTTTGGAAAAATATTGAAATCACTTGTTGTTTCTAAAAAAATTTGCTCTGTATTTTAAACCTCTTCGATAAAAATTCCTCCAAATAGGTAAAACAATGTGTATTTTAAAAGTATTTGATATGTTTATCATTATGGACAATTAAAAGATAGTTTCAAAGTTACAGGAAAGAAAACCTTTGAGTTTGTTGAATCTTTGCTTTCTTGGTTGTGTATCTCACAATGAGACAATATAATTTTATTCTCTATAAATTACATATTAAAAAGTTTGTCTCTAAAAACTAACCTTATGAAAGTGTACTGAGTTGTTCAGAAGACAAGGTTCTTCACAGCCTGGAAAGGTGTCCAAAATCTGATCTAATTTAAATTTTCTTCTACAAGAATACACTTACCTAAATTGCTGTATGTAGCACTGCAAGGATTTAAGTCCGGAGAATGTGGAGCTTCTTCCTTTTCTTCCTCCCCCTGTGGGACACGGACAGATGATACTGGTATGACCGAGGCACTGCCACCATTGTCCTGCTTCACAAACACGGCTCTAGGAACACGAGGGGATAAATCCTCCAGTGTTGGATCATCAGGCACTTGACTGAAACAAACAAGAGAAAAATCACCTGGAGACCAAAGCTACTAGATCCTACTGGCAACATACCACACTTTGCATTAAATATCTTCAGGAAAGGGAACGAACTGGTAAACAAAAAAAGCTCCTTTCGCCCTCCTTTTTTTAAGAACAACTTTCTACTATATTTATTTTCCTTACCAAGAAGAAAAAAACTTTTGACTGAAATGGTAACGTGTAGTAGTTAATGTCTTTCATACAAAAGGGATAATAAAGTGTTTTACAGCTGACTACAATCAACATATGTATGCAGGCATGATTCTGCATAACATGTGCAGGACTCATAGAACAGCAGCAGAGTTTAAGGTGCTTTTTGCCAATAAGAATAATTTTGCTTTAATCAAAGATACCAAGGTATAGCAGAGGGACTGTTAAGTCTTAATATATGCATAAAATTTTAATGATACATTTTCATATAGTGATAGGATTTTGGGAAGTGACACCTTGGGAAACAGACCAGTAGCTCATCTAAGCAAGTAATCTGTTTCCCATATAAAATTCTCCAGGATTAAAATCCTTCTGCATTAGGCCAATTGCAAAAGGCCAAGAAGACACTCCTCTGTGCTCACTCTTCACTATGAAGTTTTAAAAAAACTGTGATGACTTATAGTACAAAGCTGTGAAAATCATGGATTAAATCAGTTTCCATAGATTTTATATATATATATATATATGACGTTCAGGTTTATTCATAAAACGCCAATCCTACTGAAAACATAGAGCAATTTTCAATAATATGCCACATGTTAAAAATATGTCTTACCTTTATGCTCTCTCACAAAAACAAATACTCGTTATAGGCCAGATTTTAAGAGCGTTCACTAGCTGTCATTATTTCAGCAAATAGAACAGCAAGAATTTTAAGTACTTTTGACTTCCATAAGGGATAAGAACTTCCTTCAAAAGATGATCACCACATCATACAGATATTTAATTTCTGTGGTAAAGATTTAAAACTTAATATAACTTCCGAAGAAGAGAAAAATTATGTAGTTTCCATAATTCAAATCCTTATAGTGGAAAGAGAAGTTATATCCTCAAAAGAATTAACATAAATTATAGGCAAACGTCTCTCTATGCCAAAGCTACAATACTGAAAATCACGGTACACAATCTTCTAGTAATCCCAGACTACAAAGATTAAAACATGCCAATGCTTTGCATATCACAAGACTCCATGTATGGTGCAGTGCGCAGCACATGCTGTTTCTACCAAGACTCATGAATTTTAACTGCAGGCTGATACAAACAATACTCATTAGAACTTGTTAGTAAAAGAGAAAAAAATAGCATAAGTTCAAAAAGATATAATCTTCAATCAGCATACACTTTTTTGTTCATTTTTAGTACCATGCATAGGAATGGTGTGAGGAACATTCCATGGGCCGTATATATATCCATATTAAAGAGTTAACCTAATATAATTTCAGAGTAAAGCACACATAAAATTAAAGCAGTTAACAAGGCTCTCAAGATGATGAGAAATTAAAGACTTGTAGTTGTTGTAAATCATATATGTACCTGCATTCCTCAATACAAATGTTTTCTTTAAGAAGTAAGTTTCCAGCAGCTTTAGAGTTCTGTCATTGCCACAAACCAGGAATTATCATATCTTAAAGTGATTTTTTAGTATCTATTGGTGAGGTACAGAACAGACTCATTCTCCAAACCAGATACATGCAAGCTCATACGCTAAACCTAAGCTCAGAAGCATTTTGCCAAAGTAAACCAACAGCTAGAAAGGAAGAAAGAAAAAAATACCAACTCACCCACTGTACTCACTCACACAATTCCCCATTAAAGGAAATTCTTTCAGGGCCTTCTTGAGTCTTTTAATCATGTCTTGAAACTCTGGCGAGCCATTGATTCCACAGTGTTCTGATGTGCTACAAGTTGTGCAAGCTGTAAGCAACAGGGCTGAACTCTGCACAGAGTGATACACCTACTGCACCTTCATGTTTACCTTCGGGGGTTGGTCCCAGGACTTGCCAAAGTGCCCCAGGAAACCAGTGAGTTACAGCCCTGCCTTCTTAACTCTTCCACTCCCTTCGTGGATGGAAAACAGTTCAGTCTGCTACATCACTCTTTTGGTATGACAACTATGGTCTTAGTCATGTTAATTAGTTAAGGAAAAGCAGGTTCAAATTTCAAGAGGAGTTAAGAACTTGGACTAACCTACTCTTAAAACTAAGTGAATATCTCAGCTCTGCATTACAACCAGTTCTAGTGTCTGAATCTAACACATTTTAAATAACAGCAATTAGATATAAGGCCATGAAATCTGTGGGGAAATGCTTCCCTGTAGCTTAACAGTAAAGACAGAGAGATCAAGCCTACATACGCAGTGCAGTGACTCAACGAGCAAAATGCCAACCCATAATCAGCGCCCACAGAACATAAAAGGAACAAAAGGGGAAAAAACATCGTCACTCAGTAAGCTACGAGAACCAAATTCCAAATTGCTTTTGCTTCATTACATTGTCTAAACAGTTAAAACTACTAGTTTTTGGGAAGAGTAGAGCAGCTGATAAACAAGCAATTCTCGGAGATTAGAACCATTCAAGCCTGATAACTTCGTATCTGCTTGTTGATAGCAAGTAATATTGAAAGCTATCTCCTTATTTGGGATGTTTATAGGTATTTTGCCAGGATGGATTCTTTGATGCCTTGCATAAGAGCACATATTTAGCTTTTACCATAGTGGGCGCAGCCTCCTCTGTCCAAACCTTTTTCTTTTCCCTTTTTTTATTTCAAAAACAAACTTCATAGGAAATGAATTGCCTTAAAGAACTCTGCATCTGTGGCTGAAACTAAAGAACTATTTAGTTAATGGAGGGAGCAGCCCTCCGCACTTAGAGAACACATTTGTTTCCCTAAAAAGCTGAGATTACATGCAGCAAAAAAACTTGCCATAAAATGACTGTCCTTCAGATAATGTATTCATGTACCTGTCATTCACATGTGCACAAGCTTAAGATTGTTTTAAAAGTGCTTGGGTTTTTTGTTTTATTTTGTTTTGGTTTTTTTCCTGCAGGGACAAATGCCCCTAACTCTTTCCTTCCGGCTCTCTTCCTTCACAGTTTTTGGAGGATAGCCAGAAGATGATGTGGTCTAACTTGCCTCAGTCTTTTGGGAACAGTGAGAATCCAGAAAGCAGCCTGTGCATAGTGTGTTAATTTTGGTAAGGACAGTGGAATCATAGCTATTGTGTGAGCTGTATTTTCCTCTATTCAGAGCACATCTTCTCAATTAGAGTGATTAATAAACAGTAATGAATACAAGGGAGATAAAATAGCATACTTATATGAAGTGTTTCTGAGAGTGCATTCCTGAATTCAGGTCAGATCTAGAGGTCAAGCTGAGGGAATACAGCTCTGTGTAAGGCAGCACCTAAGTCCAAGTGGCAGAAATTAGTGACAGAAACACAGAGAAGAGCTGATGTGGCCTCAGACCCAGCTGAGACTCTGATCTCCTCCCTGAGCGGACACCAGCAAAGCAGTAATCAATGGTAGTCATACAGTTTGAGATGAGAGTGCCCAACAAGGAAGATGACTCAGTTTTACACAAAAATATCTGTGTAATTTGTAGCTATATTTAGTTCAAAAGAGGCCCCTTTGAGATGCCCTCAGGCCCTACACTTTTAAGACAATAAAGCTGATATAAAGCCTAAATTGACTGAATAATACTTGAGGAGAAATGCAGAGAGGTTAATGGCTTGAGGGCGGTCAAAGGCCCCCTTACATAGGAACTTCTACTCAGAACACAAACCACTGCATTTCCGCAAAACACTGAGCAAAGATGATCAGCGCCCAGGTTTCAGTCCCATTATGTTATGGGGACAGGAAACACATTCCAGTGGCTCATGCAGTTCAGTTCCTCAGCACCACCACTAGCCAGAAATAGCCACTCTTAAGTGGAAAAGGAAAGTGAAGGGAAGTGAAAGAAACATCTCAAAGGACGATCTGAAATAACTAAGCCATGCAGTTTATTTCTAATTATTTAGAAGTTGGCTTAGTCCTGAAGCAAGAGAATTTACATATGTATATTTGAAATCTTGTATAATGCGATGTTTGCGTGGATAAAGGCAATACATTTGATAATCCAGTAAAGACATCCTGCTAAGCTCTTTAGTGTCAGTGAAACTTAATGGCAATGAGTTCCACAGATTAACTGTGCATTATTAAACCAGACATTTTTCTTTATCCATTTTAAGTTCTCAGTCTTTCCATTTTACAGACTGTATTAGAGGAGTTAAGAAAAATAATACATGATCTACCATTTCTTAATCTAAATTTATAAAATAATAAATGGTAAAATCCCTTCTACTTGGTTCTTTAACAGTCCTCAGTGTTTACAAATTTTCATATGAAGTGTTACCAAGGTTCTTGCTTAATGAACATGCATAATTTCAAATTCTGTTAGCACAGAGATGTTCTAGAGAAAAATCTCACAAGTTTTTCATTGATGAAACAGGATAAGAGAGATGGCTAATGCTTTTAAGAGCAATGTTGAGCACTGCTAAGTAAGGTAGATAAACCTTGCTGAGTTAGACAAAAGCCAATCAAGATAGATTTGAGGAGAAGGGGGAGTTCATAGTCCACCTGAACTTCCCAGGTCAGAATTTATCCTTTTTTCACTCAAGCTAGAATTTTCTTTTCAGCTACAACATCCTTGAATTCTCCTCACCAACCTATGCAAGTGACACTTAAAAGGTTTTGGATTCAGGTGAGAACTTTACCTTAAGACTTACACAAGAGGTCCTCTAAACTGGAAAGGAGTTTGTTTTAAACAGAGGCCTACTGTGATTTAAAAGGTTTTGTTCTCAAGTAGTTTCTGAAGCAGCTGTGGAATCTGTAGGATTGGATCACTGACAAGAAAGTGGAATGTGGCAGTGGTGGTTATTCCTGCCTGTGTCTGGATTTGATCCTGATCTTAATACATGGCTACAGTTTTGAAAAACAATTATT